TCCTGCACAGCAGGGAGTGACTTCAGATGTGTGTATGTCAGCCAACATCAGTCAAGAGAGGTGAGTAATAAAAAATAGAGGAAGAGCCAGCAGGACCCAGGCACAGCTGAGTCTTTTCATCTCACTGACTCCAAAGAGAATACTGAAGTTGATCCTGGACAGTGCCACATAAAACAAACAATCCTGCAGAAAATCCAATAGCTTCTGTAAATAGCTAGAAGCTATTTACAGAAGAATGATCAAATGTAACACAAAACCATACATCATACTCCCAAATGTGCCTATCACAGTATGTAAGTCTTTATCACCTTGATTGAACCAAAACCAAAATCTTGTATTCCTTAAGAGGGAAAAGTGGATTAATAAGGTGTTAATGGACATAGATGCTTGATTATATTTTTACATTAATTTAGCAGGAGTCCTGTGCTGTCAGTATGTTCTATAGCGGAATAGAGTCTTGTATTATTTTCAAACACAGAATCATTATTCTGTGTATTCATTGTAATGGCAACTGTAAAAGAGATTGCAAAGGTAAACAGGCAATATTCTGTAGAAGAAGAAAATATTTTTGGCTAATTGTATGGATGCTAATTGTAAGGATGTAGTGGGTTCTTCAAGTCTGTGACATCCTTAATCTGAGACTGGATGTCACCAGAAGAGATGAACTTGGAAGGCTGGGTGCATAGGGTCCATCCTGAAAGGTGTTAGCATGAGATGAACCACCTTTCTGAGGTGCCCATACCTTCTCACTAACTCTGGCAGAAGCACAGACGCAATGCTAACACTGCCTGAGATTAATCTCTGCCTAGACAGTATTTTATTGTCCTTTCTCTTAAAAGCAATGTAGAATCATAGAATCATAGAATGCTTTGGGTTGGAGGGGACCTTTAGAGGTCATCTAGCCCAACCCCCCTGCAGTGAGCAGGGACAGCTTTAACCAGATCAGGTTGCTCGGAGCCCCGTCCAACCTGGCTTGGAATGTTTCTAGGGATGGGGCCTCTACCACCTCTCTGGGCAACCTGTTCCAGTGCTTCACCACCCTCATTGTAAAAAATTTCTTCCTTACATCCAGTCTAAATCTATTCTTCTTTAGTTTAAATCCGTTATTCCTTGTCCTGTCACAACAGGCCTTGCTAAAAAGATTCTCCCCATCCTTCCTATAGGCCCCCTTTAAGTACTGAAAAGCCGCAATAAGGTCTCCCCACAGCCTTCTCTTCTCCAGGCTGAACAACCCCAACTCCCTCAGCCTGGCCTCGTAGGAGAGGTGCTCCAGCCCTTGGATCATTTTTGTGTCCCTCCTCTGGACCCGCTCCAACAGGTCCATGTCCTTCTTCTGCTGAGGGCCCCAGAGCTGGACGCAGTGCTCCAGGTGAGGTCTCACCAGAGCAGAGTAGAGGGGCAGAATCACCTCCCTCAACCTGCTGGCCACGCTTCTTTTGATGCAGCCCAGGATTCAGTTAATGTAATTGCATGTACCTTTGAAGTCCTTGTCTCTGGCCAGCATTGGCTGCTTTAAGAGGTTAATCTCAACTGGCAGCATACTGAGGTTGTGCAGTGCCCTGTTTTTGAGAGGGGACAGATCTTTCCTGACCCACGTGTTGATCAATTTGTACCAGCAACATTAAACCAAATTATTTGGTCTGGTCTCTGAAGCATACCAGCATGGCCTGTCTTGCACACTGTGTGTGAAGATGCTTTGAATGAATACAGGTACTTCCACAATGCTTTTTTCAAAACCATCTTCATTTGCATTGCTACTAATCATATTGGGGGGCAGTGTAAACAAGAGGAACCAACGACCTCTTTGCACCATGTTCATAATATTAAATGCCTTAATTAACTTTGTTATAAGCCCATGTAAGAGATTTAGAGAAGAAAATAAGTGGCAAATTAATCTATTGCTCTACTTGTACATTTGAAATGCATCAGCCTGATACCATACTTAGAGTTTAATGTACATCATCATCATCATCATTTACCAATTTATTTACATATACTGCCATAGCACCCAGTGGTTCAGTATCTCTGGGAGCACAAGGCAGGGAAGGAGCAACTGGTGGGATGGGGGAGCCATGAATGAAGGAGTGAAGTTGAGCCTGGGAAAAAAAGGGGGTGGGGGAGGGAAGGTATTTTAGCTTTTTTTGTCCTTGTTCATCACCATCCAACTCTATTTTAATTGGCAATAAATTAAATTAGTTTTCCCCAAGTGACATGTGTTTTGCCTGTGATGGTGCTCGGTAAGTGATCTTTCTGTCTTTACCTCGACCCATGAGCTTTTTTGTCTTGTTTTCACCCCCATCCTGTTGAGAAAGGAGAATGAGAGAGTGGCTGTGTGGGCATTTGGCATCCAGCTGTGGTTAACTTACCACAATCTGTTAAAGTTTTGGGCCATCGGGTGACACTTTTGGTGAGAGAGTACAAGGTAGTGCAAGAAAGATGAGGATGAGTTTCCTCCATCTTTTTCTCAATTCCCCAAAGCTTTCCTCACTGCACTTTCTAATCAATTCATAGAATCATAGAATCATAGAATCATAGAATGGGTTTGGGTTGGAAGGGGCCTTTATAGATCATCTAGTTCGACCTCCCTGCCATGGGCAGGGACATCTTCCACTCGATCAGGTTGCTCAAAGCCCCGTCCAACCTCACCTTGAACACTTCCAGGGAGGGGGCATGCACAACTTCTCTGGGCAACCTGTTCCAGTGTCTCACCACCCTCATAGTAAAGAATTTCTTGCTTATATCTAGTCTAAACCTACCCGCCTTTAGTTTACAACCATTACCCCTTGTCCTATAACTACAGGCCCTAGTAAAAACTCTTTCTCCATCTTTCTTATAAGCCCCTTTTAAGTATTGAAAGGCCATAATAGGGTCTCCCCAGAGCTGCCACCTTCAGGCTGAACATCCCCAACTCTCTCAGCCTCTCTCCATAGGAGAGGTGTTCCAGCCCTCTGATCATTTTTGTGGCCCTCACTTTTGGTACCCCAGGGTTTTGCCATTTGCCAACTGAGGGAGAAACATGAGCTGACTGAACTCTGCTCCTTCTGGAGCCCATCAGTGCCCCTTCCTAGCTAACCAAACAGATAACAACAGCCTTGCTTTGCCCAGTGAAGAGCATTTAGAGTTCAGCTTTCAGGTTGAATATGTAAATTCTGGTATTGTCATTTCTGGGGGAAGAAAAGGAACAATGAGAAATGAACCAAAAAACTCCACAATGCATATATTTAATTTAATAAATATTCAGTTCTTTTTTCTCTGGGAATAAGGACAGAACACAGAAGTAGTTTAAACATCTTGCTTTACAATGCTTTGCGAATGAGATCTGTAATAACACAATTCTGTGCTGTTGAAGTGAAATTCTTAATACTGTGTTCTGTTTCATGAATTAATTTAATTAGTTATTGTTTGCTGAAGAGCTGGAACTATGCCAGGAGCTTGATTCCAGACTCAACCAACATATGTGTGTTCTGTATAAAGAAACTGGATTGACCTCAGAGCCAGACGTTGTGAGCAGAGCTGAACTGAATGCAAAGGCTGCGAGGACCTGCTCATAGCAGGTGTTAGAAACATGAGCGCAGACTTGCACCCAGATGCTGTAGACAGAGCAGCAGACTTAATCAGCACTTCTAATTAGTGCCCCTGTGAGCCCCTGATTAGAGACCCAGCACAGCTGGGAGCATCGCAGGTGCTTTGAATTCTACCTTCTGGGAAGTGTGGAGCATGTTCCAATTTCCAGTGTCCATATTTCTTTATGATGAAGGGTATGAACATAACAGGGTATAAAAAATATCTCAGAGAGTGAATATAGGCATGGCGTAGACAGAAATTTCGCCTTCATCTTGTTGGAGCTGATAGAGGACAAAATCTGGGCTCCCAAAGCCACAGGTGGGAGGGAGCCAAAAGGAGCCGCATGTATTGGGACGGGTGTATAATCCGCTATATTTGAACATACACGTATGCAGCTGTCTCAGAAAAACACAGTTTTTTGTTGCAGGCCTCCAGCCATAGTTTTTGCTTTCTTGGCACCTATAGATCTGGCTAAGAAATGTCAAAAGGAATGGGGTGTCAGCACAAGTACAGCAGTGATTTGTACAAGGCAAGGAGAGAACCCATAAACGTCCCCTAATGGAGCTGGAATTTTATTACTTTGGCTTGTTGGTACAGTGGTGCTTTAAATGCATCAGTAGCCACCCTTGTTGTAATGAAGACATTGTTATAGCAACATGAAAGTGCTTACACCCTCAATGTGGGGTCCTGTCCTCACCTAGCTATTTATGCCTATTTCCAGTTGTAAGTCTATGTGGCTTAAAAACAGTAGCAACCACTCTTCTAACCAGGACAGTTTTAAGTGTGCAACTTCTCAAGTCAGAGATCTGTGCTACACTACGAGTGTTTGCTGGGAGCAAAGCTGTGATTGAAACAGCTTCTAAAGTGTTTGAAAGTGGTCTATCCTGGGAGTGCTATTGCTTTTAACTTTGGTTTAGTTAGCATGATTCCTGACATCAGTGTAACTTTGTCTGTTTGGTTTTTTTTCACATAGGTTGGCTGGATTAACTGGCTCTCATTCAGAGTGAACCTGACAGATCTGTTTTGCTTTCACTGAACCTCTCCACTGCACATCATAAAGATTTCCTAGGTCCAGAGGCTGCACGAAAGACAACTGAGCAGCACAAAAATGTGACTCTGACAAGAGATTCCAAGCTTTCTGATGAAGAATTTTCTACTGATCAGTTTGTAATTTGAATGTATAACCGAAGCATGCATAATAGTTAATCTGATAGAGGGAAAAAAGCTTTCTCATTAATTAGGACTGCCAAAAAAGCAGTCACCTGAAGCTTCAAAATGAGTGCTCCGTTAATCCCAAACAAGTCATGTTATGCCCAGCTTCAGGACAACAACAGCGAAATAAAAAATAATAATGAAAGCATAGTGAGTGTCGGGGATACCAATGCCAACCAAATTGTGACAAAAGTTAGAACCACTGAAGGGGATGTTAAGAAACATGCTTTGACAGATGAGAGTGGGAATATACACTCTGGAGGATCAGAGAAAGTTGCTCACCTGAATACAGAGCAGAATAAACTTCTGACCTTCAGAGACTCTCGGACCTGTCACACCGGTGTACAGGAAAGTAAGCTGCCCTCCACCACCAGCAGGGAAATGGGGAAAGATTGTAGGACCAGCGAAGCTAAGAATATATCAAGGCATATCAGGATTAGCCGAGGACAAAGTCTGTCCAATTTAAAAAGCAGCACAAATGATGCCAACCTGGAGGTTATTTCCAAAGGTGATGTTGACTTCCCCCAGAACTTTTCTAAGGGTAAAATGCCCAGGACTGTGGAGATGGAGAGAATAAAAAGACTTTCTTTGGGAAGACCAAGTAAATTTTCTCCTCAATCTGAAACATTTGCAAAAGACTGTGTTGGACGCGTATCGTGTAAACGTCTGCTTTCTGCATCATTGGACTCCATCGACAGGTCGCATCATTTGATAGGAAATACAGAGAAATCACAAAAAACGTCCACGGATCATTTTCTTGGGATGGTGTTTCATCCACTTGACAATACCTCAGAGGAAAATATTGTGTTTTATTCCAAACCATCTACCTCAGGGAACAAGAAAATAAGTAAACCAGAAAATGTACCAAATGTTAATGTTGAAAGCACACTGCATACTTCTCATTCTCAGCATTCAGCGGCTAAGCCCAATGAGGTTGCTAGTAAATCAGAAGCACAATTAGGTCAGGGTGATAAAAGTAAAAAAATGGAGCTTAAGACTGCACCATCTCTACAATCTAAAAATACATGTCAACAAAAGATTGAGAGAATTATGCTGGTGGAGTTCCTGGGATGTCAAGAAGATGAAAATACAGCAGTGCAGGAGCAGAAAGGCTCTGGGTCTGATGCATCAAAATTTCAAGCATCCCATTTTCAAGACACCTGTAATAGAGTAGAGGATCCATTGTCAAGCCAGGTGGTAACCTATCCTGATGACAAATTGCTAAGTGATAACGTCACCATCGGTCGGGAAGGGAGAGGAAGCAATGACAGTGACAACAGAGCAGCTAGCCAGGTTGGTGAGGAATATTTTACTGACAAAGAAGAAGAAGCAATATTCCCACTCAGCTGCGATAGTAAATCCAGTGGCAAAGTGACACCTAGAAAAAATGAGAATTTACATGAAGTTGACGCAGGTTGTGCTGAAACAGTTGGTGAGGAGATATCTCTTATACATAACATTAATCTACCTGACAGCAAACCCTTGAACGTTAATGAGAATAAACTGACGCTCGTCAAAGACAACACCAAGGATGCTGCCGTGGCTGCTTCTGATCTCCCAGATCAGCACGGAGCGCGCAGTGCAGAGACAGTGTCAAACCAACCTGACAACCACGACAGTGATTCAGAAACCTCAAGCTTTTCAGTTCCAAGTAAAAAGACAGCTAATGCACAGAAACATCCTTCAGAGGAAGCAGCAGAGAGCTGTAATGTTTCAGCAAAGGCTGATGCCTTTTTATGTGTCCCAACTCCCGTGCGCCCGGTGGCAACGCTGGATGTTAATAGTCAGCCCACACTATCAAACAGTAATTTGAAGGACCTTTATGCACTTCATGTTGACAAACTGTCACCCTCCTCAGTCCTACCTCCCATTGACAGTACGCAGTTGTTAAACATATCCCCTAAAGTGCCTATCAAGACTGCTTGCAGCAGTGCCATCCCAAAACCTATCCTGGTCCACTCCAAGGGCTCTCTGACAGATAAAGTGGCTGTGGACAGTGACTGCAGTGAAAAGCTGGAAGAAAGCATCGAGATGAAACCTGCCATACCCAGGCCCAAACCTGTGAGACCTAAAATCATCACATACATTAGGAGAAACCCTCGTTCAATAGAGCAGCTTGACCCTTCGTTTGCACCAGCGGGGCTGCCCTTTGGTAGCCCTGCGTGTGGCATGCCCATCTCTACAGAACAGAAGGCATCCAACGGAGGGGAGGCGAAGCCCCCCAGCATCTTGTACGACAAATTTAAACCTGACCTCCAGAAGCCAAGACTCTTCAGTTCTGGTCTGGTGGTGTCAGGAATTAGGCCCCCAGGACATCACTTCGGTCCAATGAGCGAAAAGTTTCTGCAGGAGGTAAGGAGGCAGCTTTGACAGCCTCTTTTGTATGCCAGGTGGTGATCATTTGCTTACTTGTTGCTGCCAGAAGTTAGTTCTCAAGCCTCAGATAAGAAATAAATCCTAAATCAAGGCAATGTGTGATCATTAGAAATAAACTTACTTAACCATTTCTGGCACTGACCCTGTTGCAATGTCTGATCTGTGACTGGAAGTTGTCACTGTGTTCCTCCAGTTTTTCCCAGCAAACCAGTCACCTGCTAGTAGTATAAATAGGGATGTTTAGAAAGGAAAAGACACGCTGTTTGAATTTGTCCATAAATGGAATTTCTTTTTTTTCCCCAAAGAATAGTTTTGGGAAACGAACGTAATTTGCCCACAGAGACTTTTCCTCCTTAATGGGAAAGTTGGCAGGTTTTTGCAGGCAGAGCACTAGACGTCTAAACTAATTCCCTTCTGTTTAGCTGTACTGAAACTCGGGGACTGTCAGAGCTCTTGTTAGGTTATATATATAATGCAGGAAAAGATTTACTTTTGACTTATTTTAAAGCCATGTGTAATATTGGCCTACATCATAAGAAATCTCCTTCCCCTGGAAAGCCTTCCCGAGCAGCCAAAAGGTGATGGAAGTCCCTCTGGCCAATTCTGACTCCTGATATCTCGGTGTGTTTCTGCCTTGATAAGCTGGGCAGGAGTCTTGGTTCCGCGAAATCCCTGCTGGGAGGTGAGCACAGCAGAGGAAGGCTGACCTTGCTTGGAAGGTGGAGAAAGGACAGGGAAGAGAGAGCTATGTTCGGGTCTGTGATGTGCCCTTGCAGCCACTGCTTGGGACCTGTGGTAGCTCAACAACCAAATTTTTTATATAAATATAAGATCACACAAATGTATTTTTTATATAAATACTGAAGATCACACAAATGTATTTCATTTGAACCAGTCTTTTTTAAAAAAAAAAAATTTTTTTCTGTGTGTCTCATGGTGTTATTGAGGCTATTTTAATGCCTGCCTCATTCTACATACAGTATTTGTCCAAGGAACAGCACTGAAATAACAAATTTGGTGACAGTATTGACAATCAAAAGCCAGCAAATACCCAAATTAAGATATTGTGTGTGAGTGTAGATTGGCCCTTACAGCATGTTAAGAGGCAACTTACTGAAGTGATCATGGATTATATGTTATATATTATATGCTCTATTCATAGAGCACCATCTCATCCGAAACACAGAAAGGACAGTGCTTGCTGCCCTTTCCCCTCTAACTTCAGTTTCCAGCTCTGTCCCTTATATTTTACCTCCAGAGGAAGAATTATTAAAGTCATTGTGAGCTTGTCTGTGCCAGCCATTATTAGTATATCTTCACAATTGCATTGTAAGGTGAGGGAAAATTGCTAGGTTATTACTGTTTAATGTATGGCTCTGGAAATGAAAGCCAAAACAACCCAGACTGTGCAGCTATTTTACTGTTTGTAGGGTGGCATGACCCTCTGAAGACCATAGGTGTCTACGGCCCATACAGTTGGGGTTCAGATAATCAGGTAGGATCAGGAGACACATCTGGGAGCAAAGGACCTATTTCTGTGCACTGTTGAGGACTGTTCTTAACATGAGAAGGCCTCAGGTTGTGGCAATTCTGCAGCATGATTTCCTCTAGGCTAGGGTTAGAAGGAGGACACTTATGGGCTGGAGAAGCTCCAAAGCATCTTCCCCCACGAAATATGACTTTGGGCGAGTATTTCAATGAGGGAAGGTTTGAACCCAAGCAAGCTGCTTCTTCAGAGAAGTTGGATTGCCTGGAGAAGAGGCTGGGAAGGAAAACTCAAACTGTAGTTTGTGTTATGAGTTTGCATTAGCCCAGGAGTCAGGAGCTGATAGCAGGGGATGGTATTTGCTCTCTTGGGCTGCCACTCTAAAAGCAAGTACCTTAGTCACCTGCTAACTGGGTGAATGCAAAGGGAACTGATTTAGCTCCAGTATGGATCAAGAGAAAGGAAAATGATTGATCCGTGGAAGTGGACAGATGCTTAGAAGAGCAGCTGTGCACAGTAGGGGTTTATAGCAGATGACTGATGTGTAATCTGAAATAAAGCAATTAGGATGGGTTGAGATAGATCAAAATCACCCTGGTGAAGGAACAGCATGGAAGACTCAGAGATTTTGGAGACAAGGAGACGCTGGGACAGGATAGGTACCCTGCATTACCTTTGTGAGGGAAAAAATCCCAGTCTGCCTTATTTCACACATCCAATTTGGGCTTTGGAGGGCTTTGATTAGCTTTTTATAGCTCTTTACATAGCTATGATAGGGAGTGTTAATAGCTGCTATCAATCAGACCTGTAATCTCTAAGCACCCTTCAGGCTAGCTAAATGGTAGGAGCAATTAAATACCCCTCTGGGTGCCATGAGCTGGAAAAAAATTGGAAGGTGCTGTCTTATACAGGAGACTCCAAGGCAAGGCCTGGAGACCTGTCTGAGGAAGACTCGAGGGCTACCCCTGTGCAGCCCTGCAGCCTGCAGGGCTCCTTGAGCTGCCTGTGCTAAGGCCCACATAGGGCAGCTCAGACAAAAATCCCAGCTCAGGCGTGAAGGTAGTCCAGCTGTGCTTACAGACTGCATCCATAATGGAACTGAGTTAAGGTTAAATGGGCAGCCTTGCCTGTGGCACTGGCAGCATCTCGAGTGTAGGTCTTTGGAACCTCGGCATTGTGTGGAGGTAGATCTTTCATGCCTCTCTTCGTCCAGGAAAAAAACGTAGAAAACCCCTCACAGTGTAACACTTAAAAAAACAAGCCATTGTCCAGGGCAGATTGCTGCTGTCCACATGCTTCATCACAACATGGGCTCCCCATCTCAGCACAGACCTCAGCCTCTTCTAGTCAGCACCAGTGGGAATTTGTGGCCACTTTGTGTTCCCAATTACCTCTGTGGGAAGTAACAGAGCAACCTGTGGGACCCAAAGGCTGTTGCTGTGCTGTTGAAATGAACAGCAGGAGGGCACAGCCTCCAAGGCTCACTCAGCGTTGTCCATACTGCTGGACTGGGAGCACGCTCCCCAGCTCAGTGTGTGCTCACCCAGAGGCTATTCCCAAGGACCAGCATGGATGAGACCAGCCTGGTCTGCAGGGTGAGAGTTTACCCGTATGGATATGGCCCGTGCCTTGCCAGAGAGTGGTCCTTGGCTCACTTTATTCACTACTTTATGGCTGCTGCCAAGAGTCGTGGTTCTGGTGAGGGTCTGTAGGGAGGTCTGCTGATCACCAGCGCTCCTGCCTGCCTCCTCAAGGCTGCACCTGCCCCGTTCAACCACCTCCTTGGGTCCATTCCCCAGCACAGACATCTTCCTGCTCCGGAGAGCGTGGGCTAAAGCCTATTGAAATGAAAGGCCTGTAGGGGAAAAAGGGGCAGGGGGAGTTGTTTTGTACATGGTCAAACCAGCAATTTTTAGCCCTAATCTCATTATCTGAACTGCCTGAACTGATGTCACCAACTCTTTGCCTGGAGCAAGCACCTGATAAGAAAATTCTTGCTTGAGTCATTAATGTTTGATGATGTTATAAACAAAGTAACACGAAGGAAAGTGTTGAGCATCCTTACCTGCTGGCCATGCCGCCAGCTCTGCTCAGGATTACCCGGCCTGTGGAAATTCCTGTATGCTCCTAGTATTTGCTGCAGACTTTCCAGCTCTTTCTAACAAGTTCATTAGATGGGTTGAGTGGGGAATGAGCAGACAGCCACACACAATAAAACTCTTCTTTTTAGTTGACAGGCAACAGATCTTTTCTTTAAAAGTCCTTTGTACAAAAATCTAATACAGAATGCTAACAGGTCTCATATTAATCCAAATCTTTCTGAAGATCTTTAAAATGGCCTTATAATCAATAATTGCACATGATTCTATTGAGACAAGTTGAATTATACACTTCATGAATTCACCATTAAATAGAAAAGAAAAAGCAGTGTATCTTCATAGCAAGTTTATGTCCCCTAAAATTGGTCTCTTCAAGATATAGTTGGGTAAGTCCTTCTCACTTCTCTCAGCTTGAGAAGATGTTTTATGCTTGTGATTGATTGTTTGTGTGTGCATGTTTGTTGGTCTTCTGTGGTATTCATAGCATACTGTCAATAAAGGAAAAAAGAGGTGACTGAAGGTTTGGCTAAGCTGACCCAGTTTATAAAAAATGCATGGTTTCTATATTTAAAGATTTTTCTCTATTCCTTATGCTGAAGTACTTGGCATTGGGATGTTCACTGCCAGTTAAATATGAAATGATAGGAAGTGTATATATACTGAAATCTGACTGAAACAAATTCATCAGGGAGAGAAAATATAACTGAATCTTATCCAGGAAAACAATCTCATATCCAGAAGTTGAAAATAAGAAGCTAAACATCTCCTGAAGTCCAAGCCTAGAGAATCATCTATACAATAAAAACCTGCATCCTAACTTGTAGAAATAGGTCACAGGAGTATAATAAAAAAGGAAACGGGAAGATCTAATGGCAGGAAATAGGGCTGCAAACAAAGGAAAAAATATAGAGCAAAAATACAATGCTCGGTGTTTGTTACATCTGCCCTCCTAGTTCCTGTGCAAGGGCCTCAGAGATTCTACATTTAATAGTTTAAAGCCAATCTCTCCTCCTTTAGCATATTAAATATTTGCTAAATTAGGATTAAAGCTCTTGAAGTAGCTAGGATCAAAGCTTTTATAGCCAATGTTGAAGTACATATTCTAAATGCTTATGATTGCTAAATAGAAATTGATTTGGCATATTATATGCATCATAACTTACAGCAGAGTTAATTAATTGGCAGTTACATTTCTTCCTAGGTAGCCTATGGCACTTCTTGATTAATTTTTAAACAAATTTAGTTCAGATTTCCTATTTCCTAAGCTGTTTTTTTTTTTTTTTTCCTGTGGCCTAAATGGGATGCACTGAAAAAATATGCATGGGTCCTTTCTACATTATGATGATTTTGCATTTTATAAGAAAATGGTAAAGAAGTTGGACTCTATCCAGAAGAGCAAATGGTTCTTTGCAAATGAGGGAGATGAAAACTACTGACATTGCTCTGCACCCTTGTCCCAAGTCACGAAGCAGCACAGCGAGGTGGGAGTCGGAGCCCAGTTTGGGTGTAGAAAGATGCAAGGGCTGAATCGGGGAACCAGGTCATTCCCAGACTGCAGGTTCCCTGGTAACAGCCAGTTTGCTGGAAATACTTCCAGCTTGGGACTTACTGTGCTGTAGCCTCGCAGTATACGCCTATTAACATACTGAGAGATTTGCCACTGATTTTAGCAAACAGCATCTATTTGTGATAAACAGTGAATGTTTTCACATCTGCAAATTTGCTTTTTTCCCCAGTTCAAATGGGCAGCTGGGTTTTATAGCTCTGATTTGGAATATTCAACAGCCCCCTGAAAATGTAACATACAGAAACGTGCCCGCCTCCACAACCAAGTCTCTCTATTCAGGAGCTTCAGGGGCACAGATTACAATGAACATTTTGCAGTAAGAATATGTAGAGGGTTTTTTTCTCACACAAACAATTTGACGATTCCATTTCTCTGATAAAATGAACTTAAAATACCTTCAGCTTTATTTTCAACTAAGTTAAAACTGACTTCCCCCAAAATTGTATCTCAGTAAGAATATTTTAAATAACTTCTAATAAAAATTCCACTTCCATACTCTCTTGGTATATATACCTTTGTAAATAATATCACCTTCCAGGACTAAAAAGTAACTTCATTTTCACTAATTGAAGGTCTTCCATTTGTCTGTTTTCTTTTGGGGAAGAGATCAATTCTTTATTTGGGTTTAGTTGTGTATTGAGACTGTAATGTGCGTATTTTTGGAGAGTGACTCGTGATAAGACCATCACTTTTTGAAAGTGATGATCAGTCTGCAGTGCTCTGAAGCACAGATTCACAAGGAGTGAAAATTAGCCTTTATAAGCAATTTAGAGCTCCATGTTTTCTGGATTTATTGATTTATTGCCTAATATCTGCGTTAATAATTTTTCTGTAGGTTGGGGAAAGACCTGCAAAAGATGAATTTTGCCCTCCACCATATACTCACTATGAGGTCCCACCAAGTTTTTATCGATCTGCCATGATACTCAAGCCACAGTTAGGACTGGGTGCAGTGTCCAGGTTACCATCTGCAAAGAGCAGGATTCTCATTGCAAGTCAAAGATCCTCAGGTAGCTGTCTCCATCAGCAAGGAGAAATAACGAGTGCTCCCAGCCTCTATCATCCTGATGCTTCAGGTAAAGTATGAACTTACTTTCTTTTCCTTTAACTGTAGTCACCAATAAGATTTTTTTTCTCAGACAGAAATATCACAAAATGAGCAACATCTTGACCTGATACTACAAAGCTCCAACAGCACTCTTTGAGGTGTGTCTTTTTATCCTGTGGCAAGGCTGACAGTAGAGTGTGGACTTTCACAAAGGTTGTTTAACAGGTCATTGCCAAAGAAGGAGAATCAATTTCAGTAATAATTCTCATTGTGCTCTTTTTTATCTTCCTCCTCCTTGTAAATTCCTGAAAAATCTTTGCTTTTGTCCTGTGGAACATAATGGGACATTTTCTTCCATCATGAAGACCCCATCGTTCAGTCTGAATATGATGTTCCCCACCATGTTATGTTCTGAAAGCCTGGGCAGTGTTGAGATGTGCCAGCAGAGATCTTGATTCTCTGAAGCCCTGGTATACACCTCTTTGGAGACAACATTTCTAATACCTTTTTCTTCTCAGCTCAGCATGACCCTGGGCAGAATTACAGGGGAGGGAAAAGCAAGAGAAGAGCTGGAAGGAGAAATGTATGACGCCACAAGACAGATATAATAATTACTTCTACAGGACACTCCTTGGTAGCCTGGAAAAGCTTGGAGGTTTTAACAATGTACATTCAAACAGCAGCAAGTTCAGAGACAACTGAAAATCCGTTATTGCCAGAGTGAAACATAGCAGCTGTTGAACAGCCTACAAGTCTGTAGAGATTTTTAAAAGATAGTCATAAGGGATAAAGTTAAGTAATGACTTGGGGTCATATGGTCCCTCCTGTTGCCCCAGGATGGGAGTCCTTCTGATAGATGTTTATTTAACCTGTTCATGAAAAACTATTTATAAAAACCTTCAATATGAGATCCTGCAGTCTCTGAAAGCAGGCTGCTCTGATGCATTACCTGCTTTCAAGTTAAAAGTTTTCCCTAGTGTTTTGCCTAGTCCCCTTTGTTGCAATTTACTTCCTCTTCTATCTGGAGTGGACATGGAGTTTTCTCCTCTTTGCAGATATTTGAAAACTATTACTCTCTCCCCGCGGTGTCCATTTCTCCATACTAAGCTGCAGAAGAAATTTAGAGAAAATTAGAATGGAAATGGGCCTGAGTGTTTTGACTTACACTGAGAGGACAATATCAGTGAGTAATGCAGGTTCCCAGGATTTGGGGTTTATCAGAAAATCAAGGTTCTCTGTAACACACTGCCTCTTGCCACTATCCTTTACTATGTGACCCTGCATCTGGAGTTACCTGTGTTGATGCCATTAGCAGAAGCTTACCAAGCTCAGCTGTATGTGACTTCTGAGACACTCCAAGATTGCACGTGAAGTAGTAAATACCAATTCAGCCCTGTGAATTGAGTTCAGTCAGCATTGAACATGGGAATATAGGTGCAGAGAGCAACTGGACCATATTTTCCATTTAAATGAAACTGCTAGAGACTGCAAGTTCAGTATATGAGTAGGGTAAGCCATAGGGAACCAGTTTGGGAGAGAGATATGAGCGGAATACACGAACAGGGCCTATTAACAAATCCACTGTCTTTTCTAGTCGTCAGAAATGAACGTTGCCTTGATTTTTATTCATCCATTGTCCATATTATCCTGCACCATTGATGACTGCAGACATGACTTTTCCTTAGCCATTTTTAATCCATATAGGAACTTGTCTTGTATGTATTAATTTGCTGTCTTCCTATATTATGTGACATTCTAAAACCTATCAGTCCTGTTTACTGTCTGTAGTACTGCCTTTAAAAATGCCAGTGCATGAGAAGTGTACATGAGGAAATTGTACTAGCTGTTAGTACGATTCCTGTTCCACTAAAGTTGTATTTCCTGAAGTTTTCCTATTTCTCAAAAGTTGGTTTTGATCTTGTCACTGATTATTTCTTGGATCTTGTCTGCTTTGGAGGTCGAATTTAATTCATAGCTCTCCATAATTTCCTTCCTACAACTGTTACTTTGTTTCTCTCTGGTCTATTGATACCTCGCTGTTTCAAAGATGCTATTAAAGATAACTCATGGCAGTCCAATAATCTGTCTGCCATCTCCTTCAGGATCCCAAAGTGTGTCTCATCTGGTCTTTGGGCTCTGACTGTTTTTATTGATTTTAAATTACCCAAGATTTGTTCTGGAGAGGTTGCTAATGTCTCTAGTTTTTCACTGTCCACCCCAGGACACATTGTTTTCACTTCTGGCATCTCACCTTCCATTTTCCTTGCAAGATGAAGAACATGTTTAATTTTTCTGCAACATCTTACTCTGTTGCAAAGTACTTCACATTGCTCTCTGTTGATTCAATGCCTCCCCTTATTGATCTTTCATGTATTTCTGGTATCTTAGTTACTTTACATTCTTTTATTTTTGGCATTTTATTTCCCAGTTATCCATTCAAGATTGGCTTATAATCACCTTTTCCTTGCCCAAAGCCTTTTTCCTTGTATACCTCAAATGACATAATCTTTCTCTCAGCAATGTATAACTTCATAGGTCAGTATACCAGTCTTTTTTGTCTTAATAATTCCTTTTAAGAATTAATTGTTCATGAAAGAGGCTGAAGTGACAGCAGACAGGACAAGACTGGCATAGGAGTGGAAGGGCAGCAGAGAACTGGTTCCTGTGGCTGTGTCCACGCCGGTGCACAAACGCAGACCAGAGATGGGTCCCTGGTTGCCACAGAGGGGCTGGATGGGACAGCAAGCCCTGGCATGCCAGAGCTGGTGTGGGGCTGACTGGAGGGGCTCAGAGTAGGACCAGGCACTGTCTAGCCAATTGTTTTAAGGTACCCAGCACTGTTTTCAACCAATTTCCCCTCATTTAGTAGTTAGCTGGGGTATTAAACTTTAGTCTGCATTATTGATTTTGGTGCAATATTTGAGAAACAGGATTACACGCAGCTTCGATCGAGTCATATTTACAAATATAAGCACGCAAAATGCATGAACATATGGCCAGCATACTGGAAGCGGAGACGGTAAGACCCTTGCTCACGGGTGTTGTGGGGTGTGAGGCCTTGGCTGACTGCAGCAAAAGCAGCTGGGGACTAGGAGGTATTTTTCTCTCAAGGATACCAGTCCTGCCTTCAAGACTGCTAATCAGCATCTCTTGCAGCTCTATCCTGAGCTTTTAATCCAGTTTCTAATCCTAGTGATTTCAGTCCTGCCCTGGGGTAATGGAAGCAGAAGGATCTAGCCAGTTGCCATCCTGTGACAAAGTGTGAGGTACCACGGAGGCTTTTAAACTGAAATCGCCATGGCACAGTATCGAGGACAGAAGCAGTGGCTCATAATGAGGATTTTATTCCCCTTTGCCATGCCATTCATAATGTAGCAGTCTGTTTAAGCAGCACTGATAAGCTGAGTGGTTTGGCCCGTGTATAATACTCATAAAACTGACTCTAAAGTAATTGATAATTAAATCCCTAAACTGCTGTGATGGACTGGAAGTACTACAAGTACATTAAAGGTTTTGTTAGTTTTAAGACACACCAAGTAGAAAGTAAAATAATAATGAATGATCCCACAAGTGTGATCTCCAAGAGTGATGCCTAGAGCGTAACTGGAGCAGTGATCCTTCTTCATCTGTAGGACATGGTGTACGTGTTGGCATTGGCTGTGAGTTCCTTATTAAGCAGTGTGCTCCTTAGGTGATGCTTTGCTTTGGATGGGTCAGGCAAGCAGCCTAACTGTAAGAAAAAGCACTTGTGTGCTGCAGGTGAGATAAGAAGTTATTGAATCGTGATGTATTTAAAGGGGCAATAGCGTCTCCAAAAGCTTAACAGTTGTTTATTTTATGTAATTTGACTCTGCTCTTTCTATGGGAAACTTGTAATTCAAAACAAGCATTGAAGGATACTGTGTCTATAACATATAAATTATGAATATGTTTTCCTTGGTTATAAAGATTTCTTGGAGCAAGTGTGTTAGGATTTGCATTAATTAGCTGATGGGATTTTGATGGGATTAATGTCTGATTTTGAAAAGTATAACAGAGATCTCATCATTAAAACATCACTTAATTCTACTCATTAACTTGCCTTAAGTCTACATTTTTCAGTAGTATTTATGGTATTTTTTTCTCAAAGAGTGAGTTAATGAAATGCTGTTTTCTTATCACATCTCTGTGTATTAAATGTGCCAGTCCTGAGGGTCTAGCAGTTCCTCTCATTTCTAAGCAGGTCAACTCTTGTTAAAGATACATTTTATATATAAATCAGGACGGCAATATTTCTGATTACTCAGACACACACAGATACATGCATTTATTTGTGTCTTTGCATATGTGTAATGTATTTCATCGTGAGTGCTACAATATGTCTACAGCTTTCTCCCAGTAGGAAAGCTTTGCTTTCACGTTTATTCTCAGGAATACCTAATACTTGAACAAGTAAATGAGATTTGATGGTAGAAAAGAGGTTTTGAGGTTACTTCCTGAGTCGTTGCATTACTGCTGTTCCAGCTGTATGCTTATTTTACAGGTTTGCAGTTTGAGGTACTTGGACCTGAGCTGGCAAACTTCTTAATTGTTTAAGGAAAGAGGTGACAAGGCGGGAATTCAGGGAGGAAAACATTCTCTATCCTCCACTAAACTGCAGTGTTTTCAGTTGGCACTCTCTGCTTTCTTTGGGAGAACAATCTGACTGTATTTCATAAAGAAAAATTAAGTGCTTCAAAGGGAGACACACACTTCTTCATCAGTTTTGCTAAGGACATTGTCACCATACTTGAGACTTAGTCATATGCCACCTCTCTGCTCCCAACAATTATTGTCTTCAAAGAACCAAAATGCATCATATGAGAAGGGTTGTCTATATGACCGTTGTACCAAATTGTCAGTCATGTGAGCAGTATCAGTAACAATCTGGGTGCAGCAGTAGGCAAATGCTTCATACCCTACCTCCTCCCTGGCAAGAGCCAAGCATCGTTGCTGGCTGGGCACCCACAGTGCTTCTGAGCAGCCGATAAGCAGCAGCTGGGCAGATGA